CTTGAATTGACTTTTGATTAGAGTTCAAAGCATTTGTTGCAGTTTGATCGATGAAACTTTTATTGATAAAACTATTTTCATTGTTGAAATTCTCCTTTGTAATCAATGAAGCCGTTTGTATCGAGTCTTTAATGAAATGTTGTTCTGAAATTAATGATTTGCTTTAAAGTATCCAATAGTCATATATACATTTGATTTAGTAAATAATTAGATAAAGCAAAGACGATGTATGTTTATGTACCTTGATTCTATGAGCTTTTGTTTACCGTAGGTTACTTTGACTTTAGGCTTATTACTATTGAATTGATATATTGAAAGATAACGACGCATAAATAAAACTAAACCAATATTTACAAATCACAAGATGAATAAATTCATTTATAAATACTTTGAATGTAAAGGCTCTTCAGATCTCATTTTCTTATTTGGAAAATAATTCATTGCAACGCGATTTTGAAGATCATATTACTATTTACTATTTCGTGTTTTATCTGGTTTTTTGTGCCCCAAAATTACCAACTTTACCCCCTCATTTTCCATTGTTTTTTACAATAGGAAAGATTTCTGGCAAAAAAATTTTTATTTATAAGTTTGTTTCTAATTAGATTTATTCCAGATAATATATGCTCTATTGAAATCAAATTCTTTACTTGGTGGACTTTCCAAGAATGCTCGCATCAAGTTTTGCATCTAATGAATTTCTCATCTTATTTTTAATCATATTTTGATGAGAAAATCCTCTTTCACAATCTACAGGCGAAAAAGGAATAATATATACTATTTAATCAATTTAATTAAGGGTAGAGTATACATAACGCAAATTTTACTATGATACAATAATTTTTTGGCTGCCAATCATTAAAAATATTTAGTGTGTATACCATATTGTATATACAGTATATATATGAATCATTGAGAAAATAAATTTGAATTTTCTTATATCTATAATAAATAGTTAGTTGTTAATGAATAAACAACAAATTATGTTTTTAACAAATAGAGTTATTAATAAATGAATATATATATATATATATATGTATATAATTTTCTTACAGCTTATTATTGACAATTTGTTGTAAATAGTTTTGTGATCCTTTATTTTATCTCATTTAATGTTTCATCTGATATGTTTTTCACATTTTTTCAACTAATACCTTTTTTAAAATAGAGCATGCAGTATTCCGCCTTTGTTAAGGACATTCAATGGCAGCTATTACTATTATTGGTTTTATCATCTTAAACATTATTGAAGTAAAAAAGTGAAAAGTGAACCTAAAACTATACTTGAAAATGAAATTTCTTCAACTAATAACTTCTCATATCTTATAAACTTCGCAGTGATCCTAGGTGATCCTCAGAGTATATATTCAGAGGAATTTATTTCAACTATTATGGGAGTTTTTTAAAATAAAAAAATTTTTTAACGTGGAAATATCACATTAACTTGTTTGTAACATATATGAATTGATCAACATGGAGGTTCTAATTTTTTTTCCAGAATTGATTTCCAAATTTGGAAAAAACCCTGACTGTATAGTATTATACATATAGTACTGATCTGCCCATCTCTATGCCCATCCAATGGTAAAGAAACTGAGTCAGAGAGCAATAAATGAAAGAAATAAATTCAATGATTGGTAATTTGATCATAGAAGAAACCTTATACTTTTTGACCTCATTTTTCTCCCTTTGATGTTTTTAGTATAGAATGCATAAAGCTGAGTTAAAATATACTTTGCTGTTTTAATAAAATTTTGCCCACATTGGGCTTTCAATTTCTAATTTTGTACACAAATATGGTATCAGGTGTATAATCAAAAACAAATGTTCCTGGTTCTTTGTGTCTACAGATTCATGAGTTCCAACCCACTAAAAATAAAAATAATACTATTCTTGTTGTTTGTATTGTATTTGCCATTGCCATTGTATTTAATGAATTTTGAAATAAATTCTCTGGAAATTGAAATTGAACTAACTCTCTGCTCTGTCATTATTCTCTGTTGTTTCTATATTGCTCTGGTTCTTCTCAATTATTTATTATTTTAATTGTCTTATTACAAATTGATTTGGTGATTTCAATGATAATAGTGTAGTTATCCATAAAAAATATCCACAAATTTCGTGAAACCTCAGAATATCCAATTTTTATTGGTGAGTTGGGTGCGTGTTATCCTTATTTAGAAATCGATTTGGCGATTGCGGATATTTTTTGTGGATAATACATTCATGAGCTCATGAGCATGGTGGAAGTTTGTTGTTACACGAAATGTCATACAGAACTCATTGCTCCTGAAACTTCACCAGTATATAGTTGTTACCTCTATAAATTGGAGATCAAGCTCAGATCCAATTTAAATCCAGTTTATCACTTACTTTTTATTGCCAGAATGTTTGCCTTGTATTGTAAAGCTACGTTGCACAATATAAAAAATTAGTGTAACATTTCAAATTTCCACTATACTACACTCATGCATAATAAAAAACATTAGTATAATCTATAATTTTTTTTCTTGTTAAGAAACTATACGTTTATTTTTTACTACTAAAGCACAAACTCAAACTCAGCTCAGGATTATGGGTAGAAAAACATACTATTAAAATAAATTCACTTATTATGATTTACTTGAGGAAAGTAATAAAACTATTTATTTAGTTATTTTATTCGTTTTTTAGCAATTGCTAGCTTGTGCTGTCTGGAATACTTACCAATCCAATTTTCAATTGTATAGCGCATCTAATTCTGATGCATGCAGGAGACTAAATCGTTGGAAGAAAAGAATTCCTGGATTTGAAGAATAAGGAAAGGATTTTCAATATAGTACGAAAGAGAGAAACAGAAAAAAGAAACCTCGAGATCAAGAATTGATACAAAAGATATCTTCCTCTTCTGAGTGAGGCACAAAGTGCTATTTCTCCCGAAGTAGATCCTACTACGCCCGAAATTTCCCAAGTTACCACATCCGCTCTAACCATGACCAAAAAACTATCAATCGAAATCTCAATCTTCTGCTGAATTGGGGCAAATGTCCATTGATCAAGCACAAAGTACTATTTCTTCCGAAATAAAAACTCACTATAATCAAAAGTGGAACAAGATTTAATGTGTGTATTTATTAACGAGAAAGCCTTTCGAATTCTATATCTGATAAACGTATTACTGAAAATATGCTAGATGGAGGTGATCTAATTCCGGGTTCTGCGTCACATTTAGCGAATAAAAAGAAGCGTCGAAAATAAGTTGAGCGATTTGAAAGTTTGCGCAACTCGTATTGAAGACAGATACTTTGAATATCGGTCAGAATAGAAGAAACAAATGGTAAAGAGTATTTTTGATTTGTTGGTTCAATTTTTTATTTTAAAGTCTTTCTTTATTATTTACAAATGTAATAATTTAATTTAATAATCATTTTTTAAATAAATAAAATAAATAAATAAACCATTTTTTAAATAAATAAAATAAATAATAAATAAATAAATAAATAAACCATTTTTTTTTCAAAAAATGATTATTTTAGAAAGGTTTACGAACTACAGATGAGATGGGATTTACTTTATAAAATTCAATGGTTTGTTTTGCTTTAGCAGCAATATTTTCTGGAACAAAGCCATATTTTTTAAATACTTCCTTATAAGGCCCAGAAGCACCAAACGTCGTCATACCATAAGTAGCATGAGCATATTTAGCCCAACCAAATGTAGAGAGTACTTCAACACTTAATATTGGAATACCATCAGGAAGAACTGATAATTTATAATCTTCAGACTGTTCTTCAAATAGTTCAAATGATGGTAAAGAAACTACACGACTATTGATGCCGTGCTTTTCTTCTAATAATTTTGCTGTATCTACAATAAGCGAAACTTCGGATCCAGTTGCGATTAAAGTGATTTGAGCATTCTTACACTCTTGTAGAACGTAAGCACCTCTAAGAGTTTTCTCAACTGAAGAACCTTCCAACTGAGGAAGATTTTGACGCGTAAGAACAAGTACCGATGGAGCATCAATTTTTTCTATTGCTGCCAAATAAGAACCAGAAACTTCATTACCGTCAGCAGGACGGAAAATTAGTATATTTGGTAATGCACGAAGACCAGCTAATGTTTCAATTGGCTGATGAGTAGGACCATCTTCACCTAATAATAATTATACACAGTAATAATAACAACAACAATATTGATGATGGTTAAATCTTTAATTATTTAATTATCAGTCTATCCATATGTATCTATATTATTTACATACCTAAACCAATAGAATCATGAGTCATGATGTAGAGTACGCGAAATGATGAAAGCGCAGATATTCTTACAGCACCCAAAGCATAACTAATAAAATTCAAGAAAGTGCCACCAAATGGAATTATACCACCATAAGCAGTCAAACCATTCATGACAGCAGCCATAGCATGTTCACGTACACCGTATCTAATATATCTTCCAGAATACAGGCCTAGTCCATTACTATCAGGTTGGAAATCTACAGCAGTTTTCCAACGTGTCAAGTTAGATCCAGTCAAATCTGCAGATCCACCAATCAATTCTGGCAAAACATCCGTAATACTATCCAAAACTTTTTCAGATAATTTTCTAGTGGCAACTGGAGAATCTTTAGGTGTATATCTGGGTAATTTGTTAGACCATCCATCCGGTAATTTACCTGAAAATCTTCTTTTAATATCTTTAGCCTAAAAAAAAATTTTTTAAATGAAATAAAAATTTAATGGGAATGGCACAATGTAAAATATGTAAATAAATATCGGTAAACTTTTAATTTACCAAATCAGGATATTTAGAGCAATAATCTTCGAAAAGACAATTCCATTTGGCTTCTGCATCGATACCTCTTTTACAAAATTCTCCATAATAATTATAAACCTATTATTATATTATGCAAATTTACGTTAAATAAACGAATCAATATAATGGTTCTTTTTTTATATAAAATGATAATGGTAATAGTTACCTCATTGGGTACATGGAAGAATTTATCGGGATCAAAGTTGAATTTTTTCTTTATTTCAACGATATCATCTGGAGCTAAAGGGCTACCATGAACTTTTTCTGTGCCTTCATGTTTAGAACCTATACCAATTGTTGTTTTGATTTTAATGATAGAAGGCTTATCCTTGACAGATTTTGCCTTTTCGATTGCAGCAATGATCGAATCGAGATCACTGTCACCATCTTTTACAACCTGTGTATGCCAATCATATGCTTCAAAACGTTTATTGACATCTTCAGTAAAACTCACATTGGTATCACCTAATCGATTGATTTATTGGGAGAAAAAAAAGTTAATTGGGGTTTTTTTTAATTGAATAAGAATTCACAATCAAAAAATCACAAGATACCATCAATAGAAACATGATTATCATCATATAAAACAATTAAATTTCCAAGTTTAAGATGACTATTAAATAAATAATTATATATGAATAATGTATATGTATGTATGCACGTATAAATTCATAAATATGAAAAACATTGTATTTTACCCAGCAAGAGAAGCAGCTTCAGAAGCAACACCTTCTTGAAGACAACCATCGCCAACAATTACAAAAGTATGATTTGTAAACAAATCAAAGCATTCCTTATTAAAAGTGGAGGCTAAATGATCTTGAGCAATGGCCAACCCAACCGCAGAGGAAAATCCTAAATAAATAGATAAAAAATACGTGTCATTGGAAATGTTCCAAGTTTAAATCAGTAGTATACTTCATCAAACCAAATCAAACCATTATTACCTTGACCAAGGGGTCCAGTGGTTACTTCAATCCCAGGGGTCATATGAGATTCAGGATGACCAGGCGTTCTATCAATCAAAATATTAGAACGATTCATCGCATGAATATGTATATATAATATAAAAATAAACATACTTGCTATCAGTTTGACGAAAATTTTTCAAATCATCTATGGTAAGATCGAAACCAAGGAGATGTAATAATATATATTGTAATGCACATCCATGACCATTTGATAACACAAAACGATCTCTGTTTAACTGATGCAATTATACATACATATATGTATTAATTGAATAATTAACCAATATGTTTAATTTTTTAATTTTAAGTCATACCCATTTTGGATTTTTAGGGTTTGTAGTAATAAATTTTGAGAAAAGTGCGTGAGCCATTGGAGCACAACCCATTGGAGCACCTGAACATTAATAAACGATTATTTATTTTTGAAACTAAACTAATAACATGCTTTGTTTAGTGTGTGTATGTGTATATATATATATATTACCTGGGTGACCTGAATTAGCTTTTCTAACAACATCAGCAGCAAGAGTACGAATGGTATTAACGGAAAGTTGATCAATAGAGGTAACCATTTTTTCTTTAATGTTTTTTTTGAAAAATTATCTAAACAGCAGTTAACTTGTTACTTTTTTAATTTTTAAAAAAAAAAAAGAAGAGATTTTTTTCAGAAACAAGATTATCCATTCCATTTTTATGAAGGAAATAACGCTATGGTACACACGAATCACACGCAATTGATAGATTGATAATATCATAGATCACGTAATTAATCAATATATAGGAATTTCGATTTTAAATTTATTTAAAAATGATATTTAAAAACTCTCCCCTAATTATAAGAAATTTAGATAATTACAAAATAAAAAATAGTATACATTGGAATTCTATTTATTATTTATGCGAAAGCTTGCATTTTGCTGCCATTTGATGATACTGGATTATCGTCTTCTTCAAGAGTTTTAAGATTTTTAACGGCAGCAGGAGTTTTAGGTTTGAGATCAGCTTGAACTAAAAAATCGAAATAGAAATTGAAAGAAATTATTAGTAATCATACAAATTCATGTATAGTATAATAATGATAACATGAAGAAATATAAAATATTTACGAGGAGCAGCACGACGTTCGATAGCATATCCGTGTGATAAAGCAACGAACATAATGGCAATCAAGAGAACGGCAAAGAATGTAGATTTCATCATTTTGAATGTGTATGTATTTATTATTTTAATGGTTTATTTTATTAAAATGGTTGTTTTATTATTATCAAAATAATCAAGGAAGGATTTTAATGTTAATGAATGGTTTTCGATTTGTTGATGATTTTTGGTTTTTTTCGAATTGATATTAGAGAGAAAAGGAAACGAAATCTTTTTATAGGATTCCAACAATATAGTCGATATTGTATGCTAAATTATACGAAAGTCTAATTGTGAAACCTTTGACCAAATACCAAAAGAACAAATCAAAACTTTTATCATTTAGCGCGAAATCCATTTTATGAATCTGATACTTCATTAACGGCTCCAATAAAAAATGAAATAACCCAAATTAATAGCTTAATATGGTAAGCACCAATGTAAAAATAATTGGCATATGTATGATGTCATTTGAATATGCAATATCAGGAAATTAGATAATAATCCCAAGAGAAAATTTAATAAACCACAAAATTAATTGATGTCAATTATCGGTAGAAAAAAAGAAAAAAATCATTATTATATTTTTTCTTTCTTTGTCATATTTGGTTTCTGATGTTATCTTTGTGTAAGCTAATAATAGAATAAACACTACGCCAAAGAAGCTAATTAATTAGTCTTTATATTAGTATGGCTCGCGCTTGTTTCTTTTCATGTAGTGTAGTGGAACAAGGTATTAAGGATTAGTTAGTTAATGTTAATGCGTGCAACATTCAAAAATTTCTCCATCTTTATTGATTACCAGATAGGATATATCATGACAATGTTTGTTATTGGAATTTATTAATATGAAATGGTTAAATTCTCTTCTTGTCAGTGTATAACCTGAGTGGCTAAATACTAATCACAACCGAATTTATTTTATATATTATATTATTGTTATTACTATTGTTATTACTATTATATTCAATGATCTTTATTTTCCCAGTAAAAAAAGAAATCTACAAGGTTAAAATTTATTTATTAAAGTTGGATGGTATTTATGATAAGGACCCTTTTCTTATAATAGAATAATATGTCACCTTTTTTGAGTAACTATTCGATGAATTTAGTGATTCGAAACTAGAACGCAAGATGTGCAAAAGCAGGATCTCATTCATTCATTAAGCAATAATATTTATGGAACAACTTGTATAACTTTGTTATATATAATATTGATTTTATTATTATGTACATATTTTCTAAAATTAATATCATTATATAAGTATTTACAAAAAGCGGATTAATTACATTTATAATTATGAAAAATGTGAATATGTAGTGTAGTGGAACAAGGTATTAAGGATTAGTTAGTTAATGTTAATGCGTGCAACATTCAAAAATTTCTCCATCTTTATTGATTACCAGATAGGATATATCATGACAATGTTTGTTATTGGAATTTATTAATATGAAATGGTTAAATTCTCTTCTTGTCAGTGTATAACCTGAGTGGCTAAATACTAATCACAACCGAATTTATTTTATATATTATATTATTGTTATTACTATTGTTATTACTATTATATTCAATGATCTTTATTTTCCCAGTAAAAAAAGAAATCTACAAGGTTAAAATTTATTTATTAAAGTTGGATGGTATTTATGATAAGGACCCTTTTCTTATAATAGAATAATATGTCACCTTTTTTGAGTAACTATTCGATGAATTTAGTGATTCGAAACTAGAACGCAAGATGTGCAAAAGCAGGATCTCATTCATTCATTAAGCAATAATATTTATGGAACAACTTGTATAACTTTGTTATATATAATATTGATTTTATTATTATGTACATATTTTCTAAAATTAATATCATTATATAAGTATTTACAAAAAGCGGATTAATTACATTTATAATTATGAAAAATGTGAATATAATTAATTAGTAAAATGAAAAAAAGAATATTAAAAAACGCAAGAGTTGTTTGATTATCTTATGCATTTTTGAATAAATTATCAACTATATCATTTCCAGATGTCCAAGTATTGAAAAGACTCTGTAATTGTAGACTAATACAACTTTCACAAAATCTTTTAAAAAATGAAATTTGTTTCAATGAAAAAATAAAAAGGAAAACGAAGTATTTTCTCCTTCATTGTTGTGCTTTTTCTTTTCCTCTTCGAGGCAGTATTCCTTCTGGTTAGAAAAATGTTTCAATTTGTCAAGTTTACAAGGAATTTTTGAGATTTCAAATTGTGGTTTAATAATACTTTTCATTTTTTGTATTATTTTTTTTGGGAATTTAAATTTTTTTTTTTTTAAAAAAGAAAAAAATTTTTTATGATCAACCATTTTACCCTTAAATGTTTGATTAACAATACTAATGTAAGATGAAGATTAATTTAATATTAAATGGGGCATGCAGACAAAGTGAACATTGGTATTACCAAGAATTTCAGGGATCAAAATTTAGTAACGTGATTATTAAAATCTTCCATT